AGTATTACAGTGATACCAAAACCAGAGAAGGACCCAACTAATAAAGAGAACTACAGGCCAATCTCCCTAATGAACATAGTCACAAAAAATCCTCAATAAGACACTGGCAAACAGAATGCAGCAAATCATCAGGAAAATTATACACCATGACCAAGTAAGATTCATTCCAGGGATGCAGAGATGGTTTAACATAAGCAAATCAATAAATTTTACACAAAGAGCCAAGGACAAAAAATATATGATCATCTCAATAGATGTAGAAAAGGCATTTGACAAAGTCCAACACTCATTCATGATAAAAAAAAAAAAAAAGCAAACAACCTTACAGAAAGTTGGAATAGGGGCTGGGGATTTAGCTCAGCGGAACAGAGTCTGCCTGGCAAGCACAAGGTCGTGAGTTCAATTCCCAGTATCAGAGAAAAACCAAAAAAAATAAAAATAAAAATAAAGTTGGAATAGATAGTATTTATCTCAATCTGATAAAAGCCATCTATGACAAACCAACAGCCAACACTAAATGGACAAAAACTGAAAGCTTTCACTCTAAAATCAGGAGCAAGAAAATGGATGTCCACTGTCATTCAATATAGTTCTGGAGACATTAGCAAGAACAATTAGACAAGAGAAAGAAATAAAAAAGGAATAAGGATAAGAAAGGAAGTAATTAAATTATCATTATTCACAGATGACATGATACTCTACATAGAAGACCCCAAAAACTCAATTAAAAGACTTCTAGATTTAATAACCAAATTCAATAATGTAGCTGGATGCAAAGTTAACACTCAAAGGTCAGTAGTGTTCCATTGCAGGAATAACAAACTCACTGCAAAAGAAATTAGGGAAACAATACCTTTTACAATAGCATCCAAAAAATGAAGCCAATCTAACAAAGAAAATAAAAGACTACTACATTAAAGCTACAATACTCTGAAAAAGGAGATTGAAAAGGATATCAGAAAATGGAAAGATATCCCTTGCTTTGGGTAGGAAGAACCAATAAAATGAAAATGGCTATACTTCCAAAACTGATACACAGATTTAATGTAATTCTGATCAAAATTCCAACAGAATATCTCACAGAATTAGAGAAAATAACCCTAAAATTCATTTGGAACCAGAAAAGATCTAGAATCCCAAAGGCAATTCTGGGCAACAAAGGCAAGGTGAGGGAGCATCACAATTCCTGACTTGAAATTATCCTACAAAGCTACTGTGATAAAAACAGCATGGTACAGGCAAAAAAAAAAAAAAAAAAAAAAAAAACAACAGACCCAAGGATCATTGGGACAGATTAAAAGATGCTGAAACTACTCCAGACATATTCAGCCACCTTATCTTTGACAAAGGTGCCAAACACATTCACTGGAAGAAAGATAGCTTCTTTAATAAGTGGTGCTAGGGGCCAGGGATATAGCTCAGTGTCACAGCACCTGCCTGGCAAGCACAAGGTCCTCAGTTCAATTCCCAGTACCAAAAAAAATTGATAAATGCTGCTGGAAAAACTGACTTTGCACATGATGAACATTAAAATTAGACACATATCTTTCACCATACACTAAAATAAAATAAAAAAGGATCAAAGATCTAAACATTAAAACAGAAATATTAAATCTGATGGAGGATAGAATAGGTAGAATTTTTTTTTTTTTTGTCTTTTTGAGACAGGGTCTCACTATGCAGTTCAGGCTGGCCTTGAGCTCACTATGTAGCCCAGGCTGGTCTCTAACTCACAATG